GATTGCCATAGAACAGCACAGATTTGCAAAAAGGCATATTTGGCCATTTCGTGTGATTGTGATAATTTATATCTCACATTCATGTTTCATCCGCTTTACAGAATGTTTTCCACCTTGTGTATTTTTTAGACGCTTGAAATCCAGGGCGATCTGAAAATAAATCTCTTTATTTTTATTTTATCATTATAGATCTCCTAAAAATACTACAATGAGAGATGAAATGTTGAGTTGGGATGTGGCGATGTTGAGCGAGGATTTTTTTAAAGTGTGATGAGACCACTTGCAGTCATGGGGTGTGTAGGCAGTCGCGTGTAATGTCTTGAAACATACACACCTGAAGCGGCTTAAACGATTTAAAATGCTGAAGGAACCTGAGTTTAGATTTTGCTAATTGCAGGTGCTCCGCCCTTCCTTCAATCTGCTCCCATGTACTTGGCCTAAATAACAATCAAGCAATTTCAGTAGCCTATAATGATAAAGATGTGATGGTGAAAAGCAGACAAACCTAACTGGGCTATGTTGTTAGATAGAAAGAATGCCAATAATTTGAATAAACCTTCCTCTGAATTACATCTCTCGTAGAATTTTAGGACATTATTCAAGATTAATTTAAAACAGATTTATTATAAGATCGCCCTGGATTTTAAGCGTCTAAAAATACACAAGGTGGAAAACATTCTGAAAAGTGGATGAAACGTGAATGTGAGATATAAATTATCACAGTCGCACGAAATGGCGTGGCAATGGCAATCGTGTTCATGCAAAGATGCTGTTCTTTGGCCATTTAAATTTCAAAATGCAGCAATCAAACATGTTGTCTTAATAAACAGCTCTACTCATTCAACTTAAAGAGTAAACAAATCCACCATTTGATTGCTATCAAGCAAAGTAAACAGGAACAGGTTTACTTTTCTTAGAGTTAAGAGCCTAACTGGTTAATAGGAGACGATTCTGTTTTCATTTGCTTGGCTCCTTTCAGCACGTAGCTGAAAAATACTGACGTCAGTCAAGTTTTTTTTTCCGGAAGCATTTCTCATGCCCTTTGATGTTTGGCACTTTCGTTCAAGACTGCGTCGGGACTCATAAAGGAAAAGGGAAGGCTCCGATGTTTGCCCCATGGCAGTATGTGGTGGTACTACGCTTTTAAAAAATCGCGATTCAGAATTGTTACAACCCTAATAATGTTCTCTTGGGAGCATATATTGGTGATTAAATGAAATTACCCAGTGGTTGCCTTGACATTGTTACTGATCTCAATAAGAAGTAATGGAACCTCACTTTGTGTGCATGCATGTATGCGTCCCTGTGCGTGCACATTTATGCATGCATGTGTGTAGGGTTGGGCGATAAATGTATCGCGATAATTTTAAGCGCAATAAAAGTAACTGCCTCTATGGGGCAGACAGACGAGCTTGAATATTACCTTTTCTATGCCACATACCTTTAATTTAGTGTTGCACTAACATCAGAGGCCATATGAAATGCTTCCGGAAAGAAAAGTGTGATTTGAAGTCTGCTAATTACCAGCCAGGTTGGACAGCTGCCGTCACCTTGGCATAATTAGCTTACCGCCAATCAATTCTCGTGTACTTTGCCTAACTTGCAGTCAAGCTATTTATTCAGCCGACTGACCAATCAAAACCAAAATCTGGCCAATAATGATGAAGAAGAGATAATGAGAAGCAGACCTACCTAACCAGGCTACGTTGTTAGATTGAAAGAATGTCAGTAATCTGAATAAATGGCAGACCTCTGAATTCCACATCTCATCATGAAACTTCGACGTATTATTAAAGAAGATTTCTTAAAAATAAAATCATGTTACGATGGCCCTGGTTTTTAAGTGTTTAAAAATATATGCGAAGTGGAAAACATTGTGTGAAGCATATCGAATGTGAATGTGAGAGAGAAATTATTCTCGCATTGCAAGCAATGGACAAATGTACCGAAGACTTGGAAAGCACATTCAGGAAAATCTGTGCTGCAAATGTTTAGCATTTTTTATTTAATAATTGAACAAGATTCATTTGAAGTAAGGTATTTCATAGCTCTTGATTTTGGTTACTTTTGAGCATCTAAATAGCCTACAGTGAAGGTGAAAAACATTTAGTTTAAGCGTATCGAACTTGACATGTAAATTGTTATCACATTCGCACACAATGGCCAAATGTAATAATCTAGCTGATGCATTCAGGCAAATTGCGTGATGAACCAAGCAACGTTAAGGTCTTCAAAATCATCATCCTCTATTCGACAATTGCTTTCACCCCCTTCCCATTTACTTTGCTCAATTTGCAATCAAACAGTTGATTCGCTCAATGAACAATTTTTAAAATGGTTGGCAGTCTAATTTATTTAGATATCATTTTTGTTTGTTGCATTTTGAAATTTAAATGGCCATGAAACATGACAGAGTTGCCTGAATGTGTTTGCTACATTATAGTTTCACATTTGGCCTATGTGTGCGAATGCGTTAACAATTTACATGTCACGTTCGATATGCTTAAACAAAATGTTTTCCACCTTCACTGTAGGCTATTTAGACGCTCAAAAGAAACCAAAATCAAGAGCTATGAATTACTTTATTTCAAATTAGTCCTGTTCAATTATTAATTCCGTGCATTTGTCTATTACGTGCAATGCGAAAATAATTTCTCACATTCGCGTTTGATATGCTTCACAAAATGTTATCCACTATGCGTATATTTCTAAACGCTTAAAAACCAGGGCCATTTTAAAATTATTTTATTTTTCAGAAATCTTTTTAATAATATGTAAAAATGCAAGGATGAGAGGTGAATTCAGAGGTCTGCTATTTATTCAGATTATTGACATTCTTTCAATATAACACAGGAGCCTGGCTAGGTCTGTCTGCTTCTCATTGTCTCTTCTTAATCATTATAGGCCACATCTTGGTTTTGATTAGTCAGCTGGCTGAATAAATGGCTTGATTGCAAGTTAGGCAAAGTACACGGGAATTGATTTCAAGTAAGCTAATTATGCCAAGGTGAAGGAAGCTGTCCAACCTGGCTGGTAATTAGCGTACTTCAAATCACACTTTTCTTCCCAGAAACATTTCAAATGGCCTCTGATGTTTGCTCCACGCGGCATTAGGTATAGAAAAGGTAATAAGCAGGCTCTCCTGTCTGCCCCATAGTGGCAGTTACTTTTATTGCGCTTAAAATTATCACAATACATTTAACGCCCAGCCCTACATGTGTGCGTGCGTGTGTTTTTTATCAATAGGAGTTGCCTCCTTACCTGTGCAAGCTTGATGTCTCCTTCCAAAAAGGTAAGCGTGCTTCTTCCTTGATGCTCCCTCATTACACCGCCGTGTTAAAAGGGACCTCTTATTATTTTTTTCCCAAGTTAGACTATTCTTGGATGTCTAAGAGGGAAGTTTATGAACTTTTTAGCAAAATAAAAGACTTAAAAATTCCAGGATGTCTCAGAATTTGAATCCTGCCATCCCCAACTGTCAGAAAATTGGGCTGTTCTGAGTGGGCGTACCCTCTATGGGATGAATTTCATTGTAATTTACCCGCAAACAGAGCCACCGTGGCAACAGAGAGCGACAATTTTATAATCCCCCAGGTTCAGTTGCGATGGACCTTTTTTTTTTTTAGACAGTTTTAGTTGTCCCCGCTAAAAGAATTTTGGAAGGGGACTACGAAACGAGCAGTGTGTGTATCTGTCCGTCCCACAAAAATGTTAACCCTGCGCATAATTGATCACTCTATCCACATACTTCAGTGCATTTTCATGAAATTGGTCGCAATGATCCTTGGGTCAAGTCACTTATTTACTGGTGTGGGGTCAAAGGTCATCTTGGGGTCATTGATCCAAAATGGTTAGAAGGTCACTATCCAAATACTTCAGTGGATTTTAATGGTACTTGGACACAATGATTGTTGGGTCAAATCACACGTCACCCCAACAGTTGTGGGGTCAAAGGTCATGTAGGGGTCATTGGTCACTGTATCCCAATACTTCAGAATGGTGAGGCCTCTTTCCTTGGGCTGTAGAGTGGACAGTCCTTGTGTAGTCTCAGCTTGTCATAGCCAGGCTGGTCAGTATTGCAATTTGTAGAACACGATTCTGCGTCTGAGCATGTGCGGATGCTCAGGCCGTAAATCGGTTTGTGCTCATCTTCTCCTTATTTTTTCATCTGCATCGTGATCACTGTTCAGTATTTTAGGGTGTTGACCAATTTTTGTTTAGGTATTTCCATGGTCTAGCATTTGATTATACTCCTTTTTGGATCAAAGTTGAGACTACTGTTACAGAGGGGAGATCTTTTCCCCCATGATTAAGTAAATTTAACCAACATTAAAAAAAAAAAAAAAAAAAAAAAATTGGGGATACGATATGTCATGTACTTTGGGATCTCTTTGTATGCATCGGTATTTGAGGGTGCTTGCATCAGAATTAGGTGAAAGCTGTAGGAATTGCAGTACTTTTTAAATGTGGTCCCCCATCTTTTTTAAGGGACTAATAGTGATTGGACTGTTGCTGTTCCATCACTGAGTTTGTTTTATTCCCTCATTGTTGCCTTTACAAGTAAGCAGTCAAACGGTCTAGAGTTAATTTTAAGTAATGCATTTGCAGCTGTTGCTGTTATCTCTGAAAAGGGTCTTGCTATGCCTTTTGGATTTTGCCCTTCAGTGTGCTATATGGCTGTTGTGCATGTGACACGTCTGCAAAGTTAAAGCTCAAAGTTTATGCCTAAAGGAGTTATTATAAGATAAGATAAGATACACTTTATTGAAGCCCATGGGGTAATTTGTCCTCTGCATTTGACCCATCCTATAGTTAGGAGCAGTGGGCAGCCACACAGAACAGCGCCCGGGGACCAACTCCAGTTCTAAAGCTAGTTCCTTGGTCAGGGGTACTGGTTGGAGTGTTCCTATGATGCATGTTTTTGTGGGTGGGGGAAACCGGAGCACCCGGAGGAAACCCACGCGAACACGGGGAGAACATGCAAACTCCACACAAACTCCAGCCCCAGGCTGGAATCGAACCCACGACTTGGGTTGCTGTGAGGCAACAGTGCTAACCACTATGCCACAGTGCCGCCCATCTATGACAGAAAACACAGCTCCTGAACTGTCTGAAGCTCCTTGTTTGTAGTCTGGCCTTTTCTTGTGTAACTTGACTATGTCAAGATTTAACACATTTGCAAGCCATACATCTAATGGCTTGTTTTTCAATACCTCAAACAAAGCCAGGTAGAGCTGAGGTGGGGAAGAGTTTGGTTTGTGGGTATTGCCATGTTGAGAAGAAACTGTTTTCTTCTGTGCAAAGGCAAATTCCCTCTGTATGGAACTCCAGAGGAAAAAGTAAGGAATCGGTGGTTAAAATTCTGTTTTTACCTATTTCTCTGCAATACAACCCCAACCTTTTATTCTGTACTCTTGATTTTAATGAGAGCTGCTTCCTGAAATTTGGTTGGCCAATCACAACAGAGTAGGATTTTAGGGAGGGGGCCTTAAAGAGACCAGAGCTAAAGCAGCCCTTGTTGGGCAGAGTGAGTGCTGCAGACTCAACCTGACCATGAAAGCATGGAAATATTTGTAGATTGACCACAAAAATAAAAATATTAAACCAGGAAATGGGCATAAAATGACTTATTCAATAATAAAGAACATTCTGGTGAGCTGTTGAGCATCACAAGAACAGGAAGACCACAAATAACTGTTATGGATGACAGGAGAACTCTTTCCCTGGTGAAATAAAACCACTTCACTACAGTTGGCAAGATCTAGAACCCCCTTCAGAAGAATGCCAAGTAGGTCAGTAATCAAGAGCAGTCTCCAGCAGCATAAATGCCAACAGCTTACTGCAGGGTGGAAACCATTGGAAAGCATGAAATACAGCTGGTTGCCAAAAACATTGAAAACAGCCTGTAAATTTCTAAAACTGCATCCTACGGACGGGTGAGACGAAGATTGACTTGTTCTTTAGCACCTTAATCTATGAAAGACTGAATTGTTGAGGGCTGACCGAGCATCACCAGGGAAGAGATTCAGCATCTTCTGATAGAGTTGTAGACTTCTGGCAGTCAAAGTCTGATGGGGGGGAGGAGGGGTAAATGGCTGCAATTCCATCACTGTTCATGTGTTATCTTTAGGTCAGTTTACACCAAAGATTCATGACGAGACGGGTTGAAACTTGCAACTACTTCCAGTGCGCCAGTCTGAAAAATTCAGAAACCTGCCAGGTTACTCCAGCTCAACCAGGCGAGAGGATTTATCGTTTCCATTGCAACAACTCTTCTGAAGACTTTCTGTGTCTCAGACTGCCGGCTTTTCAGTTATTTGGTTGTTGTATAAATAGTAGCATCTTAAAATATGAATGAGGGTTGTGATTGCGTATATTTTAAGGCTTGTGCACAGACATAGCAGTTTCTCAAACAAGCTGATGAGGTGATCCTCTCTCTGTTTAATTCAGCTGACATTTGGTGGGTGACTCGAACAGCTGACTTGGCTATGAGCTCACTGGCTGTTGAAACGGGTGATGTGCCTTACGTTCTAAAACCAGCTCCTTGCGACTCGACGACAAGCTGAGTTGCAGGCTACACCATCAGCCTGCTCAAGTTGAGCTGAGACAGCCAGTTTGTACCGTGGCAACTTTTTCTCTGCGAATTTCTAAAACAGTTTTGGCTCGTAGTAAATCTTTGGTGTAAACTGGCCTTTTAAATCAAAAATAAAAGTCTTTGAATGCATCTTAATTTCAGATCCATTGTGGTGCCGTAGAGAGCTTAAATGATGAAATTTGTGTACAAATGCTTATGAACCAGGCTGCGCTTATTGTGACATAAGATGAAAATTGTGAAATGGGCATGTGGGTGGAGAGTCGCATAACTGATTGACAAGTAAGTAAGCATGGCCAAAAGTTTTATTTCCTGACAGTCTTGTGTCATAACAGAGCAAATACTACTCAGTGTCTAGTTTTATATGGATCAGCATGGTCCGGCCCTACATCCATGGATGTCTGTGTGGAGTGAGTGAGGGATCGTACACCATTGGTTTGAATGTACACTCCCCATTGGCTGTTGCTCTTTCAAACTGTTTTGGCACAGACGGTATGAATCACGTCATCAGGGGGCGTTGACAGCGGATCCACACTAATGCATTATAGCGAGCAGCATTATTCACAGCAGGACAGAGAATTCAATGGACACTTAAAAGTCAAGGAATTAACATTATGGGACCATACCACTGACACTCCCTGCAACAAATTGCACACAATTTTGCGTATGTATGGCACATAGTTCAGCCATAAACTAAGTTTTGACCTAGTCTCGTCGAGTACAGTTCCATGTATCCTTCTTCGCATGAGTTGTTTTCACCCCTGGTGATGGGTTTAAATGGAGGGTAGTGCTCTATTCAGCCTAATGATAGTATTTATCCATGCTGCAAAACTCTTTCTCTGTAACAATAAGAGATAGTAATTCGAAACACTTTGAGGTAGGCTCAGTCAGTAAAACATTACTGATGTTTATCACAATTGCAACTTCTTTGGTAAAAAAAAAAAAAAAAAAATTTGTTACTAAATTTGATGAAACGGCTGACTCCCACAGTCACACAGCAAATATGAAAAGTTCAGATTGTACAAACAAACTCCCTCTCTGACTCAAAGAGCATGTCCTCTCACCAGAAAAAAAAATAAACAATGTGACAGTGACACACGAACAATTTATTGGTTAATGGTTGCTTGCACTGTGTGGCACCTGGGCACGCATCAAAACATAGGCAGTGTGGGTAAGGGTAAGATCAGTGCAAATGACAAAATTATTGACCAAAAAAGTAAAGCGAGTTAACCAAAGCGCTAGTTTTTTAAAAAATAGATTATTTATGTATTTATATATTTTAAATCCTCCAAACAGTTTGCACACAACTACGCTGTTTTATGCGAGAAGTATGTTCCAGCAAAGTTTGGTGACATATCTATTTAACCGCCTGTAATGACCAAATCGAGCATCAGATATTGCAGCCCGGCTACTGCGCAAACAGCTCCGAAGCAAACATCCATGGTGCAATGTGTTAATAATAGCTTTTACTCATTCAGATCTGCCATGTGTTTTTGTGAATAGCAGTTTTTCATTATTTGATGTGACAGTCACTGTCCTTTAAAATTTCCAGGTGAGTGGCTAAAAGCTCACCCACGAATTCAAGGCGAGCTTTTTTGCGGCCCTCGCGGCTCATTCCTAGTCTGGGGCAACTTGAAGAGTAAAAAGACAGGATGTCCACAGCATTTTTCGCAAGGAACTTCTTTGCTCTAGGGAGCATGTTAGTCTAAGATGGATTCATTCTGAGGGCCCATCCTGATGCATAACAAATTTAAACTTAGTTCTCCTCTTAGACTTAACATGCTGAGATTTTGAGAAGCATCCTGACCCCAACTTCATTCTCCGATATAAGCTTAACCCATTCCCTAGGGAATACTTTTATATAAAATTGTAGCGTTGGTATGGAACACTTTTCCCGAAAATTGCACAATATAAAGTATTGAAGTACAGGTGGCCCATGACGGCGATCGTCAACTGATTTCGTGTTTTCATCGGACTGCGAATGGTCATCCACGCCGCTGGCACCGGCTTACCGTGGGGAATGGTAGAATTCGCTGCGCCTTTGGCAGCGGCTTGCCGTAGGGAATGAGTTAAACCTCTTAATGCAGTTGCATGGGTCAAATAGAAGTCTGTCCTGAGAAAAAGAACCAAAGTGCAGATCTATCAAAAATTGACATTTTTTATCAAAACATTTTTATCGATAATTAAAGAAGGAATAAAATGAAAACAAATCGTCAGCATTAAGAAATTGCAAGTTTCATTACAGGGGCTTACCTCAATAGCTGCTTAACCTAACATGGCTCAAAAGAATCAATGAATCACTATCAGAAATGGTAGTTGCTTGTTGGCTACATTCACAAACCATGCACGTGGACTCCGTAGCGTAACCTGACCAAATTTTGAAATCAAACAAACGTCACTGTCTAAACTTCGTCCGTGGTACCCACTGCGCTTCAGCCAAGTAACACTACGCGTGTCCACAGCAAATGAATTTCTGGGAACGAGAATCGTTGCATATGTGCAGCAGACAAGCATTCTCGAAAGCCGCGATTCACCTCGCATTTTGTCGCTTAAGTCACTTAACCTGAAGTCAAACGTTCACTTACCTCTGTTACCACGGGCTTGCCGTTTGCATTCTTCGCTGTGGGGACATAATCCCTTACGGAATGTCCCAGTTTGCAAAAGTTTCTGACCTAATGGCATGTCCCGCATCTACATTCGTCATCTACAGATTGGTTCAAAAAGGGTCACTTGGTACGGGTTGCCCAATCACAGAACGGGTATCTCTCGCTTTTGCTTTCCCAGGCTCCATGTAGACTTGCTCCCATCTTTGCTAAAAACACTGCCAGCACTGCCGTTCTGTATCAAACGGAGCCTCTACTGGCGGAGTGTAACGATGGAGACAGAACCAGTGTAGTTTCTGAGGCGCGTGTTTTTTTTCAAGCATTGTTTTTGTGAGGTGCGCGCTTTCTTTCTGTGCCTTAATGTTTTTGGGCGCGCAATGGTGCGCGCGTGATAAAGCGCGCCTTAAAAGACAGTGGCTGAATTGTAAGGATTTTGTCCCTTAGAGGCTGCGCATGTGTGAGTGGGTTTGAGAGTGATGCATGTGTTATTGATGTATATATGCATGTTTCTGTGCAGAGTGCTTCTGTGAGGGAGGAGAGGACAAACACATTCCGCTGCTGAGTGACGTGTTTGAGGCCTTCCCGAACACGCCCATCAATATCGACATCAAGGTCAACAATGACACGCTCATCAGAAAGGTGCCTGTGTTCTTTGTGTTCTTTTGTTGAGCATTTCTCTGCTCAAATGTTCTCATCTAAGCTGATTTACTTTGCTGGGTGGCAGATTATGCTGCTCACCTCACTTCAAGGTTACTTTACATTATAATTAAAGCAGCATTTATGGCGCTCATTTTGTGATTTTTGTCCAGTTCACAAAAAATAAGGTTGAAAAACTTTGTTTTAATGGATAACACCACCAGTTTAGTGCAGATATGACGG